ATGTGTGTGTGTGTGTGTGTGTGTGTGTGTGTGTGTGTGAACTTGCTAAAGCATGACTCAAGGGGAAGAGGAGAAGCATGAGGAGGAGGTGGGGGAAGGGAAGCCTTCATTGGATAGTATGAAATTGTGCTTGCTTGTACTTGAGGTTCTCTTAACTTAGTGTACCTGTGTACGCGTGGTTGCCTTAAAAATGAAACATGTCCCTATAACTCTTAAAATCTTTCTATAACTCCATGACATTATTATAGGAACAGTTTTAAAGTCCCTAGTACAGCTGGGAGATCCTCCACGCAGCCCCACCAGGCTCACTTCTTTAACTCCGCCACTTTCGCCGCCGTTTGGGAGTTCCCAGCCTGGGAGCCTGTGCTGCTATGTTTTCTTCAGGAATGTTTGGAGACCTCGACCAGAGCTGCATGTTGTGATCTGTGCCCGTATTTCTAGCACTAGGGGGGCTGCAGAAAGGGGGTTTCAAATCTAAGGCCAGCTTGAGCGATGGAGACGCTATCTTAAAAACATTGGGTGGTGTGGTATTGAATACCTGTGATCTCAGCATTTTTTTTTAAATTAGGTTATCTAGTGTTTCACCTGCACGTATGCCTGCAGGCCAGAAGAGGGCATCAGATGTGCCCTGGAAATTGCTGGGAATTGAACTCAGGACCTCTGGAAAAGCAGCCAGTGCTCTGAGCCATCTCTCCAGCCTTGAGCTTAGCATCTTAGAAGCAAGTAGAGCAGGATAATTGCCATGAGTATGAGGACACCTGGGCTGTAGAGCAAGACTCTGGCTCAAAAAAACAAACACAAGTTTTACATCTCCTTCCTTCCTTCCTTTCTCTTTCCCTTTCTTTCTTTCTTTCTTTCTTCTTCTTTTTTTTAACAGGAAGCTGTTCTTCCTCCTCCAACAAGTCTTGGGGGATGGCGGGGAGGTCCTGACTTTATGTAACAATCCTTTTAGTTTCACTTTACTCTGGAGTTTCATTACCTGCAGACAATCACTGTCCAAAAACATTGACTGAAAGTTCCAGAAATAGATAGGTGGTGGTGGCGCACGCCTATAATCCTAGCACTTGGGAGGTAGAGGCAGGCGGATCTGTGAGTTGGAGGACAGCCAGGGCTACGTAGAGAAACCTTCTCGAAAAACAAAAACAAACAAACAAATTACAGAAATAAACAATATGTACGTTTTAAATCGTGCGCAGGATTCTGAGGACTGTGAGGAAGTTTTTGCAGTCCTGCCCCAACCTGCCTGAGCTGTAACTGTCCCTTTACCCAGCCTCTCCACGCTGTCTAGGTGACCCTCTCCTCAGTCACCTCGCATCAGGCTGTTCTTAGGTAGCTGTCCAGCTATTGTAGTACTTAAAAATTTGAATACGTTGAAGAGAAGACTTAAAGCCTCCCTTCGGTGAAAAAGGTGAAAAGTCTTGCCTCCATAAAACAAAGCAAATAAAACACCATGCTGAAATGGCTATAGTTTCTGGGAAGACTTTGCTAGTTCATTGAGACAGGGTGTCTGTAGCCAAGACTGTAGTGCTCCTACTGTTTATATAGCTACCGATTACCTTGAACTTCTGATCTTCCCATTCCCACCTCACGAGAGCGAGAATTACACGTGTGCACTCCCACCTCCAGTTTGCTGATGCTGTGGGTTGAACCTGGGACTTGGTGCATTCTGGGTAAGGGATTCATCAAGTGCATTACCTCCCCAGCTTTTTCCCCCCTGTTTTCCTTTCAAAGTATTGAACGTCTTTTCCCAGAAGCCCGCAGGAGGCAGTGACATGATGACCTCTTCACAGCTACATCCTGGCACCTGGAATGGCATAGAGCGCATGCTAAATAAATCTGTGGGTCTTAATGACAGAACAAATGACTATTCTTAGATCGTCGGCTGAAGGGAAGTTAGGAAACTAGGACTGCAGAAAGCCAGGTGAGTGGTGGTTTTAAACCTACGCTAACTGCCTCACCTGTACGGTTGTTTGACCAAATAAGTCAGCAGCTGGTTTTTTTCCCCCTTTACTGCAAATGAAAACATTCGGGCAACAGTCAGACGTGTGGTTGTTAAAGAGGTGTTCTGTGTGAGTGGCGATAAACCCACAAGCACCCACAAGAGAGAAACTAGTCAGCAATATCCTCTTAAGGATGGCGGCAGCATCTTCTCCACTGGGATCATAATGACGGCTGTAGGGATGACTGCCGCCAGGTCGTGAGCTGGGGAGAGAGATCAGCTTAGCCCTGACTCAATGGATAAGTGAGGCCTTGCATCGCTAAGGAACATCAGAGGTAAGCGTTTCTGTCTCTGTTGGCTCGAGAGGAATTTTGGTGAAGGTTGGCCAGTTGATTCAGTATCGCAGATGGGCAGATACCGAGCGCGAGGTTCATCAAACTGACTTGGCAGGAGCCTCACACAAGACAGACTGCAGGACAGAAAAGGCAGCCCCAGATCACTTAGGACTTGGGAGTCGGACTCAAGTCTGGTCAGAGGAGAGTCTTTCTTAGGGCTGTTATTCTTTGGCTTTTATTCCAGGAACTCCCATTTGCTCCGTTCAGAGCTGAGAATAGCGTGTGTATGACCCACCAAGACATTCTCAGAGTAAACACAGTCAGGTTAAGGTGACCTTGCTCTGCAGAGAACAGGTCGTCTTTGGAGGACGCGCTGTGAGGACAAGATGACAAGCAGGATCACACAACAAGGTGATGCAGGCAGCTGTGTAAGCAGGATAAACTCCAGTGTGATCCTGAGAGGTATTTTAGTGGAAACCTTAGCTTCTCCCAGCACAAACCCTCCTGTGAAATCAGTAATAGGGACATTCAGAGAAAAGGACTAACTTGCTTTTTCTTTTTTTAAATCAGAGAAAGAAGCAAAGCTACATTAAAAAGAAGGCAAGTTTAAAAGACTCCCCAAGTCATAGATTTAAAAAAAAAAAAAAAAGTCATGGAACTGGAGAGATGGCTCAGTGGTTGAGAGCACTGGCTGCTCTCCCAAAGGACCCGGGTTCAATTCCCAGCAACCATATGGCAGCTCACAACTGTCTGTAGCTCCAGTTCCAGTCGAACTGACACCTTCGCATAGACACACAAGACACATTTTTTAAAAAATCATAAAAATCTTATTTCACATAAGATGCAAGGCATTCTAGTAATCATAAATAGGATTATGCTAGACCATTTTGCCCAACCCTAGGCAAAAGGGATAGGAATATATTTAAGGTAAGATAGGTCCCACTTTGATATTCAATAGCTAGGTATATTAAATGCATACTGAGTTTGTGACATTTCCTATTGGTTTATGAAAATGTAACCTTATCCAAAGTTGACTAGAATTTCTTTTTCTTTTTTCTTTTGTTTTTCAAGACAGGAATTCTTTTTTTAAAAAAATATTTATTTATTTATTATGTATACAATGTTCTGTCTGTGTGTATGCCTGCAGGCCAGAAGAGGGCACCAGACCTCATTACAGATGGTTGTAAGCCACCATGTGGTTGCTGGGAATTGAACTCAGGACCTTTGGAAGAGCAGGCAATGCTCTTAACCGCTGAGCCATCTCTCCAGCCCCTCTTTTTCTTTTTTTAAAAAAATATTTATTTATTATATATGCAATGTTCTCCCTGCATGCCTGTCTACACTCCAGAAGAGGGCATCAGATCTCATTCTAGATGGTTGTGAGCCACCATGTATTTGCTGGGAATTGAACTCATGACCTCTGGAAGAGCAGCCAGTGCTCTTAACCACTGAGCCATCTCTCCAGCCCCATTGAATAGCATTTCTGCTTATGGAGAAATTTGCCCGATGGAATGTAGGACATACTTCCTCATTTGCATAGTAAGTTCTAAAGACAGAGAGAGGTTCAGCAGAGTGGAGCTGACCTCAGACGCACAGCGAGGGTAGACCTTATGAAGGGACATGCCACACACTTCAGACATGCCAATAAATCTTACCATGGTTTCTTGGTCACTAGGGTAGACCATGACAAAAACATAGATGCCCCGTAAATGTGTCTGCAAGAGCTGGTAATAATAGAACAGAACACATTCTAGATTTTAACATTCGGCAACACACCGCCAACTACTGTGTCTGACTGGTGTTTCTAAGGAATTAGGTTTCTTATCCATTCATTATTCCCAACCTTCCTCAGTCAGAGTCTGAGGAAAAGATGAGTCTTTGAATAGAAACGACTGTGAGCTGCTGTGTGGATGAGAACAGTGAATGTGGAGACCCTGGCTGCAGGCCGCCGAGGCAGAAAGGATGGTCACTGTAGCTGGCTCAGTCATAGTCGGGCAGCGCAGGGCATCCTCAGGAGGCTGAGCACTGCTGTGCTTGTCCACACTGCCGGAAGCGTGGGACACCAAAGCCCATCATGGCTCTACCTACATCGAGTGTGGAAGTCCCAAGCCTGTTTCTTCATCTTTTGACTCAGAGCCAGCAGTTGTCTCGTGGACTAGTCACATCTGTGAACAGCACTGAACTGTCATTCCTGTCCAGTATGTGTCCCTCTGTGTTACGTGTTCTTTGTCATAGTCTATGATCTTTAGAACCTGGAAGTCATGACTACGTAAAGCCAGAACCTGGGCAGGTGATGATGGTTTCAGAGAAGCAGGAGGAAGAGAGTTCTGGGCTTGGAGTTCTACCTACTAGGTTGGGGAACAGGCTGCTTCATCTTAGACCCCTTCTTAGTCAAAGATGCTAAGAGCGCAGACTCCCTTCCCCAGTGCCAGGTGGCTGTGAACTAGTTCTGCCCAACCCACAGACTCTCACACTCTCACAACCCAAATACCCTTCTATTTTCCTGTCTTTTTGCAGACACGGTTTTACTATGTAGCCCAGGCTAGCTTCAAGCTGGAGTTGTTCTTGCCTGTGCCTCCTGAGTGCTTTGATTATAGGTGTGTGCCATCCTGGTCCTTTTCTGTAGCTTTGCATGTGAAATCATTCAGGCTATTGTTAGATGGGAAAGGTTTGAAAGCAAATGCGAGGGCGGCGAAGAGAGCAGCTCTAGCGAGGAGAGTACTTACCACTTTTTGGTTCCCTTCATTATCCGTGAGCAGCCATTCAATGTCCAGGGTGTCTTTCTCTGGAAGTCCCAGCTGATGGTGACAGGGCAAGGTAACCTTTTCCTCTGCCACTCTCTTGATCTCAGTGTGAGTTCCCAACGTTCCAACATAATAAGATACTGGAAAGAGGAAAAACCTCTAATGAGCAACGCAGACACTGGATGATAGCACGTACGAGTCAGAGATCACAACGATAAGCCATGCGAGCTCCCGTGAGCAAGAAAGGGGCAAGCCAAGGCGTTGGAGAGCCTAGGCTGGAAGTATTAGAAGTCTTTTGCTGCCCCTGGCTCCTCCCAAGAGCAGAACCAAAGCGGCTTTAGAGTCCCTGGATTTTACCCTATTGGTGCCTATTGTCTTTCCTTGTTATGGTGTTAGTTAGTTGTGGTTTATTGATTTTTAATAATTTGTTTTTATTTCATGTGCATTCATATTTGCCTGAATGTATGTCTGTGTGAAGGTGTTGGATCCCCTGAAACTGGAGTTACAGACATTGTGATCTACCATGTGGTTGCTAAGAATTGAACCTGGTCCTGCAGAAGAAGAGCACCCAGTTCTCTTAACTGCTGTGCCATCTCTTTAGCCTCTGGAGTTTTTTCTTTTCTCTCTCTCTCTCTCTCTCTCTCTCTCTCTCTCTCTCTCTCACTGTCTGTCTCTTTTTCCCTTTCTCTCTTTCTTTCATGAAAGGGTTTCATACCGTAGCTCAGGCTGACTGTGAGAGTACTATCCAGCCCAGGTGAAGCTCAAACTCATGGCAACCCTCCTGCCTCACTAACTACCATGGTAAGCTCCCCTTCCTAGTTTTGCTGTTGTTTGCTTTTTAAAATCAGTTATAAGATCGTTGCTGGGCCTGGTGGTATAGGTTTATAATCCGAGAAAATTTGAGTGGGTAAAGCACAAGGATTAAAGGTTCAAGTTCAATTTAGGTTACAGAGGGAGTTAAAGGCCAACCTGGGCAAGTTAGTGAGGCCCTGTCTCTGAATAAACAGTGAAGATTGAGTCAGGCGTGGTGACTCATGCTTTTTAGTCCCAAAACTTGGGAAACAGAGGCTGGCAGACCTCTGTGGGTTCAAGGCCAGCCTGGTCTACAGAGTAAGTTCCTGGACAGCTAAGGCTACACAGTGAGACCCTGTCTTGAAAATACCAAATATAAAAAGAGCGAAGAGAGGCTTGTGGATATTTGTGGCTATAGCTCAGTGGTAGGTGTTTGCTTATCACACGAGAGGTCCCAGCTTCAGTCTCCAGTACCTTGGCAAACAACATAAAACAAAAATGAACGATATAAGTCTATGTCTTGATCTGTCTTTTCCTAGCAGAGGCTTCTGGAAGGATGGTACTCATGGGAGCCCTGTGTTGAGCTACAGGCAACTTTTGTTTCTGAAGTTACAATCATTTAAGTGGGAGAGAACCTTCCAGCTTCTTATTTTTCATCAAGAACCTTCTTATTTTTCACATGAACTGCTCTAATCCCAGAGTGATTTTTGTTTTCCAGAGGCACACATTTAGGTGGACAAAAAGATGACAAACTCCATTGTAATAAAAAGGGAACTTATTCCTAATAGAAGGATTATACAAAAGTAGAGAAGAGAAATTATGGGCAACTGATTATAGTAAGGGCTTTTTTTTTTTTTTTTTTTTTTTGAGACAGGGTTTCTCTGTGGTTTTGGAGCCTGTCCTGGAACTAGCTCTTGTAGACCAGTAGTAAGGGCTTTGTAAATATGAGAAACCTTGTATGTAAGTCATCTGTCTAGTACAGTGTTTAGCACTTCGTGAGTGAAAGGTTACTGCTGCGATTGCTAACCGCCTCACTGATCATGCTGACACACATCTGGAATCCCAGCTGCTCAGGAGCTAAGGCTAGAAGATCACTTGAACTTGGACATGACAGTGAGACCCTGCCTTTAAAATAAAGAAAACAAGGACTGAGGATAGTGAACTGTGCCTGAAATCGTAGCATGTGGAGGCTAAACAGAAGAATCAAAAGTTTGGGGCTACAGGGGTTAAAAAAAAAAACGTTAAGAATGGGTAGTGGTGGTACACACCTTTAATCCCAGCATGCAGGAAGCAGAAACAGGAGGATCTCTATGAGTTCAAGCCCAGCCTGGTCTACAGAGCGAATTCCAGAGCTGTAGGGAAACTCTGTCTAGAGAAAAAAAAAAATGAAGAGAAAAGAAAAACTTTCAGAACATGGGACTAGGCAGCTGGTCTAGTGTCAGGAGCCATTTTCCCTCCAAAATTATTACAGGAACCATCGCCCTGGGGAGTCTGCAGAGAACCCCACACCCCCAATTTTATTAAGAACCATTCTATTGACAGAGCCTACCCCATACCCAATTAGCTGTTAATAGAGAGCTATCTGTTAGCGGAACCCGCCCCACATTCCAAGCTATCTAGGGAACTAGGTGTGTCAACTCGTGACTCCCTGCCTACGTGACCGGCAAGAGTTCAGGCCCCTGTACCCCCCCCCCAATTCCTTATCCTATATAAGCTGTAACCCTGTCTCTAATAAACGGAGGCTCTGACAAACCTAGCATGGCCTCCTTCCTCTCTCTCGCCCATTATCTTCCAGATAGTACCTCTCCGGGACCCTGGAATTACTGAACTGCCAGGTGGGTTACAATTCCTAGACTGAGTAACCCACCCAAGGCGGTTTACAGTCTAGCAATGAAGAGCATTGGCTGTTCTTCCAGAGGACCTGAGCTCAGTTCCCAAGCCCCATGTCAGGCAACTCCCAACCCAACATCTGTTTCTTGCCATTTTCTATCATGTGTACCCCCAAGCATCAAGTGCTCTTGGAACAAATGTGGTGCCAAGTGGAAGACTGAGAGGAAACCCACATGCTACACTTGTATCTGAACAAACTGACGTCTTGCCCAGCTTCTGCGGCACAATCAGTTTAGAAATAATACTTTCAGTTTCCTTTTACTGCGTATGTGAGAAAGGTTTTCTGTAAACTGACATGTTTTTTTTTTTTTTTTGGTTTTTTCGAGTCAGGGTTTCTCTGTGGTTTTGAAGCCTGTCCTGGAACTAGCTCTTGTAGACCAGGCTGGTCTCGAACTCACAGAGATCCGCCTGCCTCTGCCTCCCGAGTGCTGGGATTAAAGGCGTGCGCCACCACCGCCCGGCAAACTGACATGTTTTTGCTTTTGGTTTTGCATTGTAGGTTTGAACACATGGCAGATAGTCAGTCAGGCCTATTTTACTGAGGAGCAGACTAAGGCATAGGGAAGAAGAATCCGGCTATGAAGTCCTGATAATCAACTCACTTGCTCAGAAGTTCTCTGTTGCCTAACCCACAGTCCCCCAGTTTCCATACGGCAGCCCCCAGGAAAACTGAGAAACTGGCCTGTCTGCATTGAACTGAGATGAGCTTGGAGGAGGAATCATTAGCTTTTGTCTCTTCTGAAACCGGCACAGTGGTCACACAAAGCTAGAGAACAGCACCCAAGTGCACCCAGTAGGCCTTTGCTATACACGGAGTAAATCAATGCAAAAGATTGGCTGTGAGACTTGCCGAAAGAAGCCACTAGAGGGAAACCGAGGCTCAGATTTGGCAGATGTCCCCAGAGGACCGGAACGCGGTGTGGGTGGTGTGCTCTGACAGAAGTCTAGCTTCTATTTATAACACACCCAGAATTAAACAGAGCAGCACCAGGAGGGTGTCTCTGTGAATACAAATGACTTGAGCAAGGCAGGGAGCATCAATTGGAGCCTGCGAATCTGCTTTGATCCTTGAACCTCAGCCCCTCCGACTCCAAGATGCCACCAGGATCTCTGTGGAGTTCTGTGACCCTTTTGTCTTCTCAAGATAATAATTATTACCATATGTTGATTCTACAGCCTGGGCTGGCAGGGGCCTTGGTAGTATTTGTGGGAGTTGCTTGCCATGTGCCTGCCATCTGCTGGGTGGGAGGGAAAGGGCAGTCCAGCCACCCTATGGCTAGTCTAGTCTAGGAGTCCCTGGGCAACACGAAATTTTTGGGCGGGGGATCCTTACAGATGGCAAAGCTTAAGAAGAAACTACAGCCTAGCTAAGCTAGTGAGAAACAGGGGTGTGGGGAAGGGGAGACTTTTCGACATTTTGCCGTAGCATTGTCTGTGGGAAGAGGTGTTGGAAGGAAACTTTGGAAACTAAAACTTTCTATGTTTAAGCAAAATGCTTTCCCGGAGCCGTGGGCTTTCCCCAGTGGGGTTTTTTACAGGCAGTACCCACACTTAACTGGTGCTAGGGGAATTAACCTTTCTGCCCTAGAGTTACCAGCAGGCCCCTAGTCCTGGGACAGGCAGAGGAGCTGCCCTGGAAACAGCTCCCTCCGCTCCTCTGTAGTGAGGAAGGGGCTACCTCTTAGAGGAGCCTAAATTTTGCTTTTTAAAACCTTGAGTTTCATTAGATTTTCTTGATTATTCCAGACTGCCTTCAAAAAGACCAGACAAGAGAAAACTTTCACAAAAACCATATTCTCTCTCTCTTTCTCTCTCTTATAGTTTATTGAGTATACCACATAAGACATAATGGACTGACCAGTGACTCCAACCTCCTTTTTCTCAACAGGGCTTTCCACTTGTCCTGTGCCCGGTGCGTACAGGCTCCCCACATGTCCCCAGGTTCTGGGTGATGAGCTACAGAAATGATTACTGAATGTATAGTCACAGTAGGCTCCAGGAAAACCACAGAGTAGGGGTTTGGATCTGAGTTATTTATCAGACTGTGTAGGTCAGAGTTTACAAAATTAGAGCGCCACAATAGGTTACTTATCCCATGACAGGGATCGAAGTCTGTTCGTGCACACTGTGTAGCGTACAGTGGAGTGCCCTCTAGTGGTGACAGTAATGTAGACGCCCTTTCTTCAATTGAATGATACTTCTTTTCTCAATGATTCTGGGACAATTAGCATTCACTAAACCTGAGCAGGAGGAGCTTTCCCATATTTTTTCTTTACCCAGGATGCGTGAGTAAGCCTCAGGAGAATAAAACCATCATGAATAGTTAGAAAAGGAAAAGGAAGGGCCGTTCCAGCACTTGCAAGCCTGAGACAAAAGAAACACTGGGTACTGTGACTTTAAAGTTAGTCTGGGCTGCAGTGGCCTATCCTGTCTGAAAACAAGACAGTAAAAATAAAAC